TCCATTCAGCTTATGTGCAATATAATTAGAGCAAGACAACTTTGAACCAGGCATGCTCTAAATATCTATTCCATGTTAACATGCTCGAGGTGAGCTGGAAATAACACACCTGTTTCTCTCTCACCTGTTCGTGTGATCACCTGGGCCCCCCACACACATCTATCAACAGACTGTAGAATACTGATGGGATCATAGGGGCCTAAATCAGGGGCGGATTCAGAGTTATTTCCTGACAGTCTTCCAAATTATCTTTGTTGATCCGTTCTTCATTTTTGACCGTCTTCAGATAGAAAAAATTAGATACCCGCCAATGTAAACTTGAAAATCTGACCGTCTTCCGGAAGACCCAGAAGACACCCTAAATCCCCCCCTGTAAATAGTCATATATTATATTAAGTCAAATCAGGGAGACAAAGAACTGCTTCTTTTTCATATTCAAGTTTTTTTTTCATATTCAACTTCCATGTCAACATTATTTCGTTTTTTTTTTTTTTTTTTTTTTTAAATTTCTATCTTACATGCATAACTGCACTACACAGTCAAACTTTAAACAGGTTACCATGGTAACAACCTGGTAAGACCAAGAGAAAAACATTAACATACCGGTATTACCAAAAGCAAGTAATGAAAGTATTTTCTGCAAATTTCAGCTAGGTCACACACAAATACATAAAATATGAATATATATGGAAACTTTTCAAGCAAATATTCCCCACAGTTTGAAAAAAAACAAAACAAAAAAAAAAAAAAAAAGAAAACAAATAAAAAAGAGTTTAACTGACAATATATTCATGATTTTTTTAAAACTAACTTTCACAATAAAATTTCCCTCACAGCAAAAACACATCCCATTTACCTCATTGAGGGTGGGCAAAAATGTACCCTTCTTCTTGTTTCTAATGCTGTGGGCAGTGTAAACATTTACATCCACTAATAACCTTTCATATTTGATTTATTTTATAATCAATTCTCTTCCATCAAGTGCCCTTTCTTTGATCTTACTGGGCCCAGTCTTGGTGACCTGTAGTCATCCCCTGTCTCTGGCCAAAAGACACTGACCTTTGGTCAAAAATGTCATTTTTACAGTCAACAGGTGAGGTATTGTGTAAGAAAGGTATTGGGGAGACAAATGATGTCTCAGCAAGAAATGAACATCTGTATGACCACTACAATAACTGTGGTTCAATAAAAAGATGTCAGAATGACTGATCATTTATTCTGCAAGAGAGAAAATTTAAAAACAACAGGCATGTCATTGTGGCAGGTGTTAAACACGGAAAAAGGTCCTGTAATGAATAATTTCTCAGCAGTAACCTATAGTCACAATTCAATACCATAACTGAAATTCAATTAATTCTAAGCATATTTCTGACTTATCCTGAAATTCTCATAAAAACTCCATATTAGGCCTTTTACTAGCAAACCAACAAAGGCACAAAAAAAAAAAAAAAAAGAAAAAAAAAAAAAAAACCCTATAACCCTCTTGGCAGAGGCAAAAATATGTACAAATCAGACTTCCTTATAAGTCATCATGACCCAGACAAAAAGATACCACATCCCTTACCTTTTGGAAAAAAACAAACATATCTTACGTATCAACTGACAAGTAAACAATACATGTATGATATCATATTCCTTACCTTTGAGAGAAAAATATAGTATTTGTATCAAATGATAAGTAAACAAGCTATCTATGACACCTTAATCACATTTCCTGTCCATGGTCTGATGATACTGTGGTCACTTAAGCCATGTTCTCAACTGGTTAAACTCAAACTGGTATTGGTATAATCGCCATCACACGCCAACTTGACTGCTAAACAGGACATTTTAAATCCCAAGATGTCATGGATATATTTCCTTCTTAAAAAATTACTAAATTAAAAAATTCAATCAACACATCACATGAACTTCTTTTGACAAGATCTGACAACAAAAAAAATTGGACCTATAACTTGAAATGTACAAATGCACAGAATTGCTTTAAATTAGGTACAAGTACCTGAAAAGCTGCAACACACACACACACACACACACACACACACACACACACACACACACACACACACACACACACACACACACACACACACACACACACACACACACACACACACACCCACCCCGACAAGACAACAACTACATCTGCTGGAAGAGTCAGCAAATTCACATATCAGAAATCACACACGTTTATTAAAAATCTGATAGCAATTTACACGACTGTAATTGCAAAATGTCATCCAGGAGTCTAAAACCACTTGTTCCTGCTGGCTTTTTTCAAGTCATCGATTGTTCTTTTGTAATCCACACAGAAGCACTAAGTAACTCCCATGTCTCACTCCTACACTGATGATACACTCGGAAATGCATTCCTCTTTAATGCAAAAGTCAATTTGTTATAGAAACGGATTTTTATCCCAAAGTCAATGTTTCCTGTATATATTCAACCCACTCGTGTAAAAAAAAAAAAAAAAAAAAAAAAAAAAAACAGCTGCCTAAAACTGAAGAATTCTCACCAATTTAGACAAATCACATCTTTGATAAAATATTATCAATTAGGTATTTAAACTGCTCCCAGTAAAATATTCCTTCCCTTCATTATACTAATGACAAAAAAAAAAAAAAAAAAAAAAAAAAAAAAAAAAAAAAAAAAAAAAAACACAAACCTCTATGGTTGGACTTGTAATTTGCTTTCATCATTGTATGCCTGTCTCAATCAAGAACAACATCAAATACAATCCAGAAACAGATGCCAAAGAAAAGAAAATAATGCTGGGTTTATTCATCCTTTCACACCCTAACAAATTCATAACACCACAGCAATTTAGATATTGAATCTGTGGCCCATAGTCCACAGCATGGCTATCAGGCCACTTCTGATGGAGAGGCAGGAAACCGAACAGAGGAACATTCATTCTGAGAAATCCATATTCGTCTGTGGAAACATTAAGCTATTATTTACACACACGTTAGCATTTAGCCTATAAAATACAACCTGTTAGCTAAAACATCTGCGCCGCCTACAGTGTTTTAGTGCTCGGGCTATAAAGACCACTTTGTAGACCTAAGCCATAAAACCTATTGCAGTCTCTTGTTTTTTATAAGACTCGGCAGCTTTATGATGTTAGCTCTCTTTGTCATCCATATTCCAAGTTTAACTTAAAAGCCATTGCTTAAGTGTTTCTGAAAACGCTTTAGAGATAAAGAGAATCCACTGAAAAAAAAAAAAAAAAAAAAAAAAAACTTCACAACAGGTCTCAATATAACTTAAAGTATTAGTGTTAAATAGATCATTTTTATTATTATTATTATTTGTACTATTATTCCTTTCTCCGGTATTGTATTGTTAGGTGACCAGTTCTGTCAGTGAACACATTTCGCTCTCAAAGATGCATATTGCATTCTACGCTAGATGTATTAGCAGGATTAGTTGCTTCGCATGCTGTAGTACGTACAATATTTTCCCCAAATAAAATGAAGCAAAACAGATTGTTGTCAGTAAATGCAGTCTGCACATTTTTGTGAATGATTAACTTTTTGTTATTACTCCATTTGGGACTTATTTTATGATGGACTATTTGATATTAATTTTACTCTTTTAATGTTTTATGATTAACTTTTTGATGATAAGCTTGAAGGCTTTTTTAATTTTTAACTCTCTGAAATCACACAGTTAAGACCNGAAGTAATAAAAACTGCTCCAAGTTAATGGCTTTACTAGACATATTTATCACTATATAGACCAGCCCTGTGGGCATATCAAATGCTATATTACTTCTTTCATATTTGTGGCCAAATAATGCGGTCAACCAAAATTCTCACCTATATTTTCAGTAGTTGCATTTAGGGAGAGCCGTACTAAAATAAGGAAAATTTGTTTAACCTTTTTCCCTTTTTCTTCAAACTTTGATTACAGGTAATTTAGTTATTTTGTCAAAATACGTCTTCATAAATATGGTAATGATGGGTAATAAAATGTTTTTGTGTGTTCACAAAAATTGGTGGCTAGAGGGAAGGGTGTTATTTGGTTATAAAAGTGGGCAATATTTCCAGAGCCTTTTGTTGTATAATTTACTAGCACAAGATAATGGTAGTTATTTGTGACAAAAATTGTCCACAGATCTTCAGAGAGAGAGAATGTAATAAGTGAAGTTTCAGATTTCAAAAGTGTTGAGGTCATGCAACAAGAAAACCTTTTTTTTTTTAAATAAGAAAATGATTTTCTCTACGAAATGTGATGTGAAAAGTCTGGAGAAAACAAACACCAAATTTTCAAGTTTCTAAAAACTTTCCAAATACTAGTACATGATTTTTAAAATAATTCTAAAAATATTGACTGTTATACTGTTGTACCATCAGTGTTTCAGGAAACCAAAAGAAAAAATTCTAGCCCAAAATGCCTTATTTCTCAATTCTTTCACTGATTGTATTTTCCAAGTCTTCCTCTTCTTCAAACTACGTAACACAAACAACATGTTTCCCTTGTAAAATTCTGAGAGAAAAGAAAAGCTACCAAGTTCAGGGGTTGCAAGAACTGACAAAACTCATCTGTGCCCTAATGATAAAACAGCATGTTGTAATAAAAGATACACAATGAAACCTGCTGATTACGTTTATAAAAACAACCAAGGAAGAGCCATGCTGGTTTTGATCTTTTGACTGTGGATATCCTAGCTTTTTTTTTATCACTACCTTTATCATTTTAACAGAACAAATAAACAAAGTGATATAACATACAAGTGTTTTCCTTTTTTTTTTTGTAAAGCAGCATTTTTACAGTTAGCTATGTCAACTTGTATGTCTACAGAAACAGAAACAAATCTGTGGTCCTTGCAACCAAACCATATGCTCCCATATCAACATTATTTTAAGCACAGCAACTTCAATGATGTATATATATTCACCAGAAATATACATTTCTACAAATGTGAATAAGTATAAACATAAAAACTAAACACAAAATTTCATCAAAGTGAAAAAAAAAAATCCATAGCACTAACCTCTTTGTGGCCTTCAAATGCAGCCATATGCAGTGGTGTCAGGCCAGCGTTGTCACGATGGAGCTCATCCAGGCCACGGTCCAGCAGCTCTTGGACCACTTCCACGTTCCCCTGGGCACAGGCAATGCTCAGGACAGTGCGGCCCTCTGGGTCTATGGTGTCAATGGCGGCCCCGAAGAACAGCAACAGGCTGACCACTTTGGCATGTCCCATGGATGCGGCAGCCAGGAGAGGCGTGCGACCATTGTTGTCTGTGTGGTCTACGTCAGCGTCGTTTTCCAGGAGGAGCTCACACACCTCGTGGTGACCCTCGTAGGCTGCGACAAGAACTGGGGTCATTCCATCCTTGTCCTGGTGGTCAACTTCGGCCCCATAGTCCAGTAATAAACTGACCACACTGGCATGAAGACCGCCCTGACTGGCAGGAATACACAATGCCGCCACTGACAATGCCGTCCGCCCATCGCAATCCTCCTGGTTCAGGTTCGCCCCATGTTCTAGCAAATGTTGCACTATTTCTGTGTGGCCCATATACGACGCAGCAATCAATGCAGTCCGGCCTTCATTATCCACTTTGTTTACATCAGCACCATATTCGAGTAACTTGAGCACAATGTCTTCGTGTCCGCCCCACGCTGCCGCCCGTAGTGCCGTGCGATTCTCGCTGTCTGCCAGATCCACCTGGGCACCTGCTATGAGGAGTAAACCCACCACTTCCGTATGTCCACCCCAGGCAGCTGACCTCAACGGCGTCCATCCTTCTGTGTCAGTATGATCCCCATTGGCTTGTGCTTTTATCAGAATTGAGACAATCTCACTGTGCCCCTGTCTGGCGGCTAAATTAAGGGCAGTCTGTCCAGTTTTGTCCATGGCCTCCAAATCAGCACCGCGTGAAATCAACAGCTGCACCATGGCTATGTTCCCCTGATGGGCGGCGGCACACAGGAGAGGCCTCCCCGTGGCATCTACCTCATTAATCCCAACCCCATTCTCCACCAGCTCCTTCAAAGATTCTGACTTTTTCTTCTCCTGCTTTTCAATCTTTTCAAGAGTTGCCGACGTGCTTTCCTCAGCTGACTTTGGCAGCTCTGCCCCAGCTTCCAACAGCAATTTTGTGACCTGTTGTTCCTTTGGTAAACCACCGGCCATTAGGCTGGTCTCAACAGGGGCGCCCGACTGGATCAACCACAGGGGTAAATGAAAACCCTCTGTGGGAGCAACCAGGTGTGCTTTGCTCAAATGTAATGCTAAGTTGTGCACTTCTTCAGGTGATAGATGGGGCGCAGTGAGAGTGAGATTCATTGCCAGCATCCCGTGACCTTCAGCCGCATTGCACAGATATTTCTGAGTGCAGTGTTTCACATCCAGTAACCACTCGGCAAAACTATGGTGAAAGAGAATTTTGGTTCCCTCCTGCCCACTGAAGATGATTTTGGACAGGGCTTCCATTCTGCTGTGAAATTCATCCACATTCAAAGTGGTATTACCAGTCCATACACTGCGGAATAGCTCCTCCTCTGTGAGAGGACTTCGGGCTGCGAGGATCACATTCAGAATAGGCTGTACCTTTTGGAATTGCTTTTTAACGAAAAGTCTTTGACACAGCCACAGATAGAGTCCATTTAGAGTCCCAGGAATTTCCCTTATTTCACGAAGCATGATAAAACTTTCTGCTACCCCATCTAATACTTTTTCCAGGTAGAGAAAGCATCCGTTGCTTTTAATATGGAGCTGGTTGAGCATTTCTGCCGTCTCTCGACTAAGGTGCTGGCGTAACCCCTGCTCCTGATCAAGTCGGCACAAAATATACTGCTGAACGTCGCGCACAACATGCGACTTGCGCAGATCGTCCAGACTTATCTTTCTGAACCCAGTAAACAGTCTTGTCACAGATTTACTCTGTTTTCGCGCAGAGCAAATCAACATCAGCCATGTTGGAAACAGCTGATGGTGATTGGCTAAGAGTTCTGCGATAGTCTTACTTCCTGTTCCCGTATCATTGATAGACTGAAGATACGACTCATCAATGGAGTCCACCAAGATGAAAACATTTTGTGAAGGTGGTGGAATGGATAAAAGTGGGTCCAAAACTCCTTTTTTAAAAGCATCGTCAGGATTCACTTCGCAAGTCTCTCTCTTTAGAGCAGCTTTAACATCTGGCTCACTGATTACGTCCCTATATCCCTCTATTAAATCAGATTTTGAAATTTGGTCCACCAGGCTAAGAATGAAATTCGTCAAAGATAAAGTCTCAATGTCATGGGCCTGGCAAAAATGGTACGCTAAAATCCTCTTGCTCAGGGCCTGCTGACGACCTTGACCCGTGGGCCACGTCATCTCCGCGCACACGGCCGTCTTTCCGCACCCAGGTCCTCCCATCATTAAGGCCCCGCATGTATTGGACGTTGATCTGCTGTCCAAGTAGTGCGTAATTTTGCTGAATGCCCATTCTCGGCAGAAGAACCGCCGTCCCTGGAGCAAGCAGGTCGTCATGGCAACATTAGGCTAGACCAACTGTAAAAGAGAAGAGCAAAATCATTAAAGTAATGCGTTAAAATGTTTCAAGCATTGGAAGAGATGGTACATGCCAAAAACATTGCGATTCATGAAATACAGAATACAAAATATCTTATGAACTAAAAATTTGCTTGCATTTGAAAGCAAGTACAATTTTCATAAATACTGAAACAGCATTATCAATAATTTACATATGGGAAGGGAGCATTATGAAGAACAACAATAATTCTATTATTTAAGAAAAACATCCCATTAAGGGTAATAAATAAACAATTAAGACTTGTGCCTGTCATTTGTGGTCACTTGAAAATTCCTATGCTATTAGTACCACTACAGTGAATTCTCTAAATAAAGCCAATACTTCATATTACAGTATATCATTTGAGTTGCAATCAAATAAGATTTGACAGCGCATTCATAGAAAATTATGTATTTTTCTCTGACTATATTAAATACATATAAATCATTCCTTTGGCAGACTCCTGATACATGCATCAGCTCAATGTCGAGTATCTATGAAATTCAGGATTGATGATACTCAGATAAACCCGCTTTTCAAATGTAATACCTCTGAATAAATTATTCTGGAAATTTTAACTCTTGGCACTGTTCATGAATGCATGCTTCTTATTTCAGCATCCAGCTGCAATGGGGAAATAATACCCTTTACAATGTCCATGCTATGTGGATATAAATAAGCAGGAAGGAGGCAAACCTCACCTAGACAAGAAATATTACAAATTCCACCACAGGATGAGTTGGAGGTCACTAATTTCCTCTACAATATGTCACTTTGTTTGCGTAGATAGTTTAGCTGGGTGTATTCAAAAAGCAATGTGTCATACACCCAAGTGCTATTTTTCATTGGACATTTTGAGTTTTATTTCCTTTTTGTGAAATCTGACATTCATATCCAGCCAGAGTGTGGATTAATTTCAAACTATCAAACTATAAGCTTAAAACTGGGGTAAAACAGCTGTTGAAGTATATCTTAGCTCAGAGAGAACAGAATACAGAGAAAATGCTCATTAATAATCAGTAGGATAGGTAAAATAGAGAAAAAATCTTCATTAAATAAAGGACATTGAATTTTTGTCACAGTATGGTCTAATCATATATATTCCTTATATCCATTTATTTTTTATATATCCTATTCACTTACTTATTCTTTCATAAATCAAGCTGTTGAATTATTGATTTATTCAAAAATATGTGAAAGAGTACAATTAACAAAATAAGTCAGTCTATATTAAATTGCCCAACAAACAGAAACATGCTGATATAAATACTTTTCAACAAGACAGTCTATAATATATTCCCAAAGGTTAGGCAAAGTAAATGATGAAAAGAAGAGGTGTGTGTGTGTGTGTGTTGGGGGGGGAGAGAGGTGAGTCACATTTATATCTCCCTCAACATGGCATTTATGTTCCAATAACAAACTACAGAAATTAAAAGAGGACTGACATTTGCAAAGATAACTTAGAAATCCATTTGTGCATCACGCTTTGCACTTTGGAAATGATGCAAATCCTTAGAAATGTTGTACCGATCAATAGTTTAAAAAATACTGAAATCCTGGCATACGTCAAAGTCATAATTCCAGGAATGCTGGGATTGGCAAGGGTGGAGAGGGAGACATTATCATTCTTGTCTAATAAAAATATTACGATGGAAATGACAAAATACTATAGTGGTGATGCCACATTTGAATTTTTTTGTTATTGAAAATCAAACCAAACACAGACAACTGATCCATGTGATTATGAATGGACTGATGGTCTTTTATGCCCTTTAAAATAAGGACAGAAAAACATACATTTTTGTGCTGACTGATAATTATGTTACTTCTTGTGGAAATAGGGGGTGACACCGACAGACAACCTGAACATCTTGTTCTAGTATATATATACATATAACTTTACTAAGATACACAAACTGCCTCAGAAAAACAGACAATAATCTTAAACACCACCCAAGCTCTCTAATTCAGCTGATAGAGAAGGGAATTAAGGCTTCATTCACATGCAATGTCTATTTTCTAAATTCTATTTTCTATTCGCGCTATCTTATGATCACGGTCTGTGCCCTGAATATCCCGCCGCGTAATTACTGGCAGCGCGAGCCAGTTACTTATAGTAACTTATAGTAACTGGCTCGCGCTGCCAGTAATTACGCCGCGGGATATTCAGGTCACAGAACATGATCATAAGACATACCGCGAATAGAAAATAGAATTTAGAAAATAGACATTGCATGTGAACGAAGCCTTAGACACTGTTTGACATTTACTTCTTAACAAGTATTTGCAACCCAAAGAACTTCACTTCAAATTGTATTACGGAATTATCAAATGTTCCTTGATGATGATCATGACTACTCTTTATAAAACTTGGGGAGGGGAGGGTTACATCAACAAATACAAAATGTTAAAATTCCCATACGTGTGTGTGTATGTGTATGTGTGAATATATCTATATATATATATATATATATATATATATATATATATATATATATATATATATATATATATATATATATATATATATATATATATATATATATAAAATTCTTCTTCAAAATAGACATAACAGATGTTGGGGAAACAAATACAGTTTGAATAAATAGCTTACTATTAGGTGCTATATTTGCCATGATGATAAAATCAGACCAGAAATAGAAGATCAAAGGAAAGATACATACATCTTCATTAAGAAAACACCTGCCAATTATCATCAGGTGTAAATATAAACCACTTTCAGGTGTACAAATAAACCGAGTTTGATCTTCTGTTAACAGCAATGTACAAACTAAGTGCTACACTTTTACATGATGATTAAGAAACAATCATGATGTTGGCAGGTGCTTTTAAAAAGAAAATTTAAGTTGGAAGATGTTGAGATTTTTGACAAGCTGAACTGATTTTGTTCTAAGTTTTGAATGCATTTTTAAGACTCTCTCTCCCTCTGTATCTCTCTTTCCTCTGTCTCTCTCCCACATATACTTATAAACACAGCTCTCCCTCTTTCTCTCGCACAAACCCACTAATAAACACATGGAGGAGAGAGAGAGAGAGAGAGAGAGACAGAGAAAGAAAGAATACAGACATACATGCATACAAACTCTGTAGGACACGATCACACACCCTAAACTAAGGTCTCCATACAGAAAATTTTAATTTACATGTCAAAAACACCGCCCCAGAAATATTCTTCGCCAGTCGGTTACAAACATACCTAATATGCACACCATGGGAATCTGGTAATACTACAAGAATCAGCGCTGTCCTTTTTATCACAGTAATGTCCAGAGCTACAACCTAATAGTATTTTCCCTGAGAAAGTCACTATCAATCAATCCTAACACTTCAAATACATGGCACACAGATTGCAGTCAGAATGAAGGCAAAAACATACCCAACAGAACACCTTGGTCTTGATCAAATACTGGCCAGTCTCCTATGTGTTCTCATATGTCCAGCAAACCAAGTCCAGACCCAGCACTGACCAGTGCCCAGTGCATCTCCCACCACTTCCTCACACCAACCCAGGAATCCAATCTGCCAGAGCTATGTTTTATTATGCTCTGAACGGACTGGAGCCAGTGCTATATGAACAAACTGTGTGAAATCGTGGCAGAGGCCGATGTATTGATTTTATTCTTAGCCACCGTATCAACTCACTCCACATGATGTATGAGCCTGGAAAACCATTTTGTCCTGACTCACTTTTCTCTAATTCTTTTCCTGTCCCTATAGGCTTTTATAGAACTCCAATGGCGACATAGGAGGTGTCTGTATATTTGTCAGAAAATGTCACCGTGTATGGAAATGATTAGCTAAAAAATAACTTCCATTTAGAATAAAGCTTGCTCTATCCATTTATGCACCTATGGTTTATTTTCTTTTTCTCTCAGGAGAGAGAGAGAGTGTGTGTGTCTGTGTGTGTGAGTGTATGTGTGTGTGAAAGAGAGAGAGACAGAGAAAGTGAGTGTGTGTGTGTGTGTGTGTGTGTGTGTGTGTGTGTATGTGTGAGAGAGAGTGCAACCAGGTGTTCCTCACCTGGCTTATTTACGACTTATTTTCTCCAATTACCTGGCTAATAACACTCTAGTTTACAATAATAATCATTTCAGTTGATGAAGATATCCTGTTCTACGGTGTACACAAACACGCCCTCTCTACAGGTAAGTTCCACATGAACCATGCACTTACAGACTATCAAGAACATTTCTTGATAATGCGTGTTTCTCGTCAACTTGGGACAACTCAACTATCCAAGCTGACCACATATCTATAATCTTACCAAAAGAAACAAATCTTATTTCTGTTCTTTGGCCCACTGACATTTTACTTATGTTTAGTCCAGATCGAGTGACTACATTGCAATTGGCCACTTATTGTTAGAAATGGTAAATCACATGCTCTGTTGATACTATATTTATCCATTCAAGAGTACTGTTGACATTTGGCATTTTAAAAACTTTCACATCACCAGAAAATGAAGGCAGTGGGATAATGAAGATAATGGCTGAATAATAGAACATACAAAAGCACTTAGCCATATTCTATTAGAATATTGTTCCAAAAAAGGAAAAATCATCGGTCCATTTAGCATTCTAAGAAAAGTCACCAAGCTGACATTTCGTATGAAATAGTTATTACAAGGTGAATTTGCATTTGCACCTTGAAAATGGTCCAATTATGTACAGTAGACAATTGCTGTACTAATATTCCTTGCCGCTAACTATCAATGTACACTCCAACAACTAAGTCTACAGTCTAATAAAAGTGAATTTTTTCATCCTGGCCACTTATACTGATGGGTATTTTTCTCCGATAATTGCTCGTTTCTAGATAATAGCCTGCTGTTAACAATATTGTAGGGCAGATCATCGTAGGCAAACATTAAGGAGGATTAACCAGCGAACATTGACCCAATCATTTCAAGAAGATCGCAAACGTGTGTATCTTTGCACCAGACATGTTGTGTTACGATGCTCCGAAAAGTTTGTTTGTCTTTTGTCTGGGTGTTTCTGCCATAGATTTAGTATTAAGCTAATTAGTTTCCGCATAAATCCATTTTCCAAATCAAATTTTTGAGCCAAATGTAGAGACACACAGTCAAAAATATCTTCATATTTTCCATTTAGCTGAAGGAAACTCATTTTCAGTTACTGGTGAAAATTTCATATGCCAGCTTGAACCCTGCCTGTTATGGTACGACACAACCTAATTACTGAGCGGAAACCCAGGCAGAAATAGGCCTATAGAATTGGATTATTTCATCCCAGAGGCTAAAAAATAATCCCAAATCCGCCACGACCTATTCCATGGTGGTAGACTTCTAATCCTCTCTTCTCTCTTCCGGTATTGTTTGCGTATGTTTCTGGCATGTTTACCTTGGAGGTAATTGTGGTTAATTGTGCCGAGTGACTAGACCTTTCGAGATGATTTCATGAACTCTTCTGCGCCTGAGTGTGGGTACTCTTCCTACATGATCTGTATTTAGGAAAGAACTGTTTGTTCTTATATTATATATTCTTATTTGTTCTTATGTGTAGCCATAATGCCGTATTCTACTTGTGACAGAGAAATGGATTTGTCTATTCATGCATGACATCTTGTCAGAATATGACAGGCATATTTGGATTAAACTTGGCAGTTAAATTTCTCTTGCCATGGGGGGGGGGGGGGGGGGGGTTGCACAATGGGGACAGAATTGGGTCAGGCTATTAAAAAATTCTGAGAATTGTTTTATCTGAAACCTCTGGTATGAGGGGGATTTTGACAACAGACAAATAACATATTGTTTCTAAATAAATGATAATGAGAATTTTTTTATACAGAAGAACTTGAAATACTAATTCACCTGCCTTCCCATTAAATAGGGCCTTACATATGTTCTTTCAGAGAATCAAGAAATCCATTTCCAAAGATGTGAGAAACAGAACTCAAGGCACTTTTGCTGCTATTGATTTTCAAAGGAAAACTATTTGCTGGATGGGAATTTCTTTCTAATTTCCGCTCTATGCGCGGGCGACAGTCTGCCCATAATAAACTTAACCCTAATGGCTATATTACAAGTAATGTTTACGTGAAAGAAATATCAGTCCTCTTTATTTTCCTCTAATTGATTTACAGACCCAGCAATGAGCCTTGTTGATGGATCTTAGGTGATGGCCTAATGTGGAAAACGGCAGCCAGCACAGCTAGAGAAGTGGGGATGATCCGGGATGCTCTCTCTTTCTTTTGAAACCTTATTGCTCCCAAATATATGCTTTGTATTGATTTGAAAGAAAATGCAGTGTCAGGTTTCATTATATGGAGAGTTTGTGCCTAATGTTAATGGTTTTAGATCAATACATTTTCTGTGTAATTCCACTGCAGCTATGTTTATCCTGCAAAGGATATTTAGTTTTATAATAAATTCCAGCTTTTTATTGGTTACTTTTCATACTGAACACGATTTTGATTGCTTCTGCAAAGATGACTCTTTCTCCACTGCACTTTTACCCGTGCATTTTTATCTTCTAAAACTATTTCTTATTCTAGTAATAAAATTCTAGAATAAAAACTTTAAGAATTTGGGTTACATTCTGAAAGTCTGCTGAGTGCAAGAAAGTGTTAAATGCATCATCAATATGAATATAACCAGATGAGAATTCTAAAATTATTCAAATATGACATATGTTTATTACATAACAGTAATAATTTGCTTAAATTAACACCCCATTTCCATAGATTAGATCGACCTATTTTAGATCGACCTAACTCCCTGGGGGTTCACGCTAAATAGCTGTCAGCCGGGCGGACACGAAAGTTAATTACCCCTTACAGCTTGTAGTAGGCGGGGACGGACACTTAAGGGGGATTATCTGACAGTAATCTAGTGAGACTCCCCGCGGTGATAGATCGATCTAAAGTTGTGGGAATACAGCCTAAGACATGGTTGCATACATTACCCTGTTGAGTCCATTTTCACTTTACACCAAAAGCCATTCTTGTTTTGATTTATTTTCAAGCTTAATGATTTAACATGATATCACATTGGCTAGCATTAGAAGCTATCTAAGAACTTCTATTTTAAGTTCTGTAATTTTCCTCCATGCTTACCCAACCAACAATGTGTAGATATTTAAATAGAATGAAGCCTGCTGTATCTGGTCTTAGACCCCATTGACATCATCGACCCAACTCTACGGGGTCTCTCGCTAAGTGCAAGCAGCTTCACTGAATGTCGTACCTCCTCTTGTCTCCAGTACTCATATATAATCATCAGCTTTCCTATTTTCTATTTAATGTCATTTTCTACTTAATGTCATTCAGTTAAGCTGCTTGCAGTCAGGGCGAGTCCCCGCAGAGTTGGGTCGATCCACGGAGACTGATGGCATCTATTGGGAATGGGGCCTGAAACTCAAGACTACCCCTATGACTATTGCTGGAGTCATGCCCCATGTGGTGCACACCTAGCAACACATTTATTTTCACAGCTATAAGTTGATTATTCTGAACACAGTGGAACAGAACAACCAGTATTCATATTATATAGCCTATTTCCGTGTTTGAGGAAGTTACAAGAAATATGTAATGGACTTGCTGGGTATAGGTCAGCTTATGACACTGAGATTGAATGGTCACCTACGTGGGTGGACATGGTCAGAGAATACAAGATAAGCTGACCACTTCACCAGTCCACAATACAATACAGCGGATACTTCAAGAAACAGTCTTGAATTTGGCAGTCAAAGAGCAGCTCTGGATGTGACAGACAGACAAACAGACACAGGGGCAGATTGAGGCCGTCTTCTAGGTCTTCCAGCAGACAGTCAGATTTTCAAGTTTACACTGACGGGTGTCTAATTTTTTCTGTCGGAAGACGGTCAAAAATGGAGGATGTATCAACGAAGATAATTTGGAAGACCGTCAGAAAATATTATTGGATACACCCCTGAGAAAGCAGACAGGCAGACGGACAGACAGACAGACAGACAGAAAAGAAGATCATGATTGATAACTCAGTCCCATCAGTCCTCCATCAGACATGCAATCCGCCCACAGGCAGGCGGGTTACAGCCAGCAAAAACAACTACTTTTTCATTTCTAAATCAATAGCACACTTATATTTTATCTTCAGAGACTTGATTAATCTTCTTCTAACATGACGTGATGGTTAAAGATCCTGAAAATAAGGTCATCAGACTGAAAATGAAAAAGCCCTGGGTATTCAGAGACATCTGCAGTTTACGATCTCAGTAAAAATAAATTCTTATCAAAGAAAGAGACAATACTTAGGTAAAATTTGACATCTAGTCACTTTTCAATCTCATTTTATTACACATAGCTTCCACAAGCAATTTTACTCATTGATATCCATAAATTATGCAGACCATTGTTCTGGTGTACACCACCATCCTCTGCTAACTACCATCAGCAAAAATATGCCATTTCAATTAAACTAAAAGAAAATTGCCCAAGGCAAATGGTTTATCATACCAGCATTTTTTCCCAATGTATACATACACGTACAAGCTCGTGATGTTAAGATACAAATTTGAAAATGTGCACAAGTCATATTTTCTATGTCTATACATGCATATCCTGCAAAGCTACTTATAATCTTTCCCAGTTCAAACCTTAAAATGATAGGAACCCCTCAAATAAAAGTATTTAAAGTACCCTATTTTGATATTTCCTACTGGAATAACAGGAAGACTATATAACAGTCTATATGTCTGGCCAGATATTAAAAATTAGATTATTTAATTAGAAATGGCATAACACTTAAATCCAAGTGCAGGAATGGGCTGAACAATGATTCATGAGTGAGGAAAATTCATTTTTTCTGAAGAAAAACTAAATTTGTATGGAAATCCCAGATCAG